GCCGATAACGTAAACAAACTTTTCGTGGGGTCGCGCGTGCGCACGATGACCCGATGCGATGCCGAACGGAAGATCCGCGGTTGATCGAAACGAAGGAAGAAAGAAGGAGAACGCAAGTTCCGAGCGCACGATGGAAGGGAAGCACGCTGACAGGAAAAGCGCGCGCAATGAACGCGCTTGTCAGCTAGGGTCGCGATGCGGGAGGAAAAGTTTCGGTGTTTCCGATGCAACAATGGCGGTCCTACAGGGCGCGCACAATCGGTAACTGTTCTGTTGCGCGAGCGATCGGGGGAGGAATCGAATCGTTGTTGGCGACACCGGGCGATCTTGTCAATGTCGAACGTCGAGCGCGATGCCGCGCGCAAAGTGACTCGAGCGAGCCGAAATCGTCCGCTCAGCGACGCGCAGTCGTGGTACACGCGTCGGCCGCGGGAAATTCAGGAAGCTCGCGCGCGCCGTTCAACAGCGGCGATGTGATTACACGGCTGGCGATGTTTCTCGCGTTTCACGCGGTGGTATTTGATTGGTCTCTTTTCCTTCTCGAAGTTCGGCAGCTCTCTCTTCGAGTCCTTTCTCCGGCCGCCGGGGGGGTAAGAAGAGGACGACGTGTTGTGTTGCGTGACACAAGGCGTACGTACGGAGAGCCTTTGGCCGAATGCGCGAAGGAACACTGAACGTAACGCGCGAGCGGCGAGCCTCAGTTTGCCTAGCCTAGCCGCCACTAAACGCCACTATCCTAGGTTAGACACGCTCGCGACACTCTCCGTCCTCCCCCTCTGACTCGCCGTTCCCCCCCAGCCAGTCCACTCCTTCTAGCTCGCGCTTCTTCTTCCTCTTTCGCGTCAACAGTCTTTTTACTCTTTCTCTCTCTCTCTCTCTCTCTCTCTCTCTCTTCGTCTCGCTCTAGCCTTCGCGAGATCTTCCCTCTTTCTCCGACTCGACTGATCTATGTACATAGAATACGGGGGGTACACATGCCGTGTGGATTCGGAGCGGTTTGTTGGTGGGGGTTCGTAAGGCCATAGCCACGGCCACCGAGTCGCACACTCTCGCAAATACAGCAGGCGCATGCACGCACGTATACATACGTCGCGAGCAGGCACACACCGACCGTTGTCGCTCCGTATCTCGCGTGCGCGGGCTCGCCAGCGCGCTCACGATTCCTAGCCTCTCTCTAGAGCGAGCGCTTCGCCGATCTCGTGTATCGTCCGTGTATCGTTGTCGCACGGAAGCATTTCGTGGGACTATTTTATAACAGTCGGCGAGCGTCGGCTAACGAGAAAGTGGAATTGCCTTTCTTCTCATCTCCGCTGTCTCGTTACGCCTGTTGTTCAACGCTGACGCGCTAATCTCGTTTCATCGAATATATATATATATATATATATATATACATGTAAAAAAAGAAACGCC